CAGGTCACTACCTATCTCCAGTGAGCTAATCATCCGGTGCGGGCCTCCCTGCCGTCCTTGGCGCGACAGATAGTGCAAGGCGATCGTCTGCAGCGTCAGCATGCGAATGGGGAGCATCGCAAGCCCGACAAGCTGAGCCCGCACCATGGCCCCAATCATTTGAGCTGGCTCGCACGACAGTTGCGTCACGCGATGATACCTCTCCTTCTCCCACAAGTCAACTGCCCCCACAGACTCGCTCCTTCTGCCCTCTCGTGGAGATCCAAACGTTTCTGCAACCTCGCTATGACTAGACAGTGTCCTCGGTGGAAGGCGGACTTCCATCTCCACAATGCCTTCTCGCGATGTGATTCGTATCCGCGGGTCATTCTCCTCCTCTTCCGAGTCTGCTGTTGAACCTGGCGGGCTTGTAGAACGCATCAGCTCATCGACTGCGCTCACTGGCATGGTTATCACATCCGCCTCCAACGGCTCGTTTGCCCGCTGATCCTGTGTTTGAACGACGGGTAGACTTAGTGGGGTGGCGTTCGTAACCCGCGTACCACCAACATGTATTGTCTGGGCATCGCTCATGTCTCGTGTCTCGTTCACACCGGCCGTTTGTTTCCGTTCTGTGCTCGAGGCTGCAAGTGGGGAAGCCCAGCCCAGCATCCAAAGTATCTTGTGGATGCCATTGCGGATCAGCCGAGGTGACTCCCGTCGTAGCCCCAGCACAGTCAACGCACGATCCTTTCCATTGACATCCCGGCTGGCTGTGTCAGGCTTGTCGGGGCGAATGATTGATGATTCCACAGCTTCGTACACACAGGCATAAACCCAGCGCTCAAGTATATGCTCCGAACATAAAATGATGGCGGGCGAGAAGAAGAAAACGGCGAAACGATCCGCGAATGAGTTAGTGGCATGCTGAGGCAAGTAGGCTGGGAGTAGTGGCGATGATAGTGCAAATGGAATCAGAGTGCGCCATGAGGGAAGGAGTGGTCGAGCAGGCACTAGGCCCAAGCGTTGCAGCGCAGTGTGGTAGTAAAACGGGCAGCAGAGAATCTCAAGGCCAACGCGGAGGCTATTCGGTGTAAGCAATCATCCCACCTCGAGACATGTGGGTCAGACCTTGTTCTTAGTAATCTCCTCGTTCGCCGGAACACATTGCGTGTCCTTGCACTTGCGCGTGTTGCATGGAGCAAGCGTTCAATCGGCTGATACATGAACACGCTGTATACAGCAGTTTGGATATTCAGAGCGGCAAAGACCCGGGGAGCAAAGCCTGCATACATGATTGAGGTCCCTGACAAGGCACACTCGGAATTAACAATCTGACTAAATGTGAGGCCATGATGATATCGAAATGTCTGTGGGTGTCAGCAGTAGCCTGTTACACACGGAACGAATGTACCGTACCAATAACCGATCTCTGATAGTACCTATCCACCATGTGCAAATGTTTTCTGCAAAAGTGGTAGCCAAAGCGACTGCATTGCCCATGGTATCCTCGGCCTCGAGCAGTTGGATGCGCTCTTCGCTTGAACCAGGTAGTCCCTCTGCCGGCGAACGTCTTCTTTCCACTACGCCCACCGATGCAAGCACGTCATTCTGAGCGCCTCTCAGCTTCTTGCCGTACTGGTGGGAGCGCGGGTTGATGGGGTTTCCGCGCTCATCGTAAAGCTGCATGTAGTTGTTCGCAGTGGCCTCATGGTACCGCGCAGGAATCTCAGACTGCGCCGATTCGAGCTGCACATACCCTGAAGACTGCGAAGCGCAAGATGTAGGCTCAAATGCAGAGCGCCCCTGTTGTGCTCATCAGACATTGCTTGCGCGGCCTGTTCTGGTGGGGTCTATACAAATGCTATCTTGTCCAGGTAGGCTTGTCGGCCCATGGTGGGGGTGTGAGTGGCTGCTACTGTGTGCAAGTAATGAGTGAAACTACCGCTCCTTGGAAATACAGACTGATGGACATGTTGGGTGGTGAACACATAGCCAACACTGTCGTTGGAGACCGAGTACTCGACTGAGACAGACGCGCTTGCGCCAAACGTCAGCGTAAGCGCGTGGTTGCGACGGCTCTTATCGATAAACTTTTTTCCATCTTCAACTTTCGCGACATGTCTCATCCACAACCTCCACGAGCCTTGACGCCACCAATTCCTACCCCAACATGGCGGCGCAAAGAACTGCTGTGAAGACCACCTACGAGGTTGGCCGTACCTTGCAGCCCATCTACTCGGGAGGCAGTTTGGCATTGAGCCAGGACGGGCGCATCCTGGCTGCTAGCTTGGGTGAAGATGTTCTTCTCACCGACCTCACAAATGGACAAGAGCTGGCAAGAGCCGAGGGCGACGGCGAGGCAATCACATCATTGACTTGTAAGTAATTTCTCCAGCTATAGCAACGGTCACTAACATGTTCCAGTAACGCCTTCTGCCTCGCATCTCATTGTATGCTCGCGATCACTGTCCATGCGCCTATTTTCTCTCAACCCTTCTGAAAACGGGGACGACTCCATCGAACTCCAACTTGTCCGCACCCTTCGACCGCATACGTCACCTGTAGTCACTCTGGCCACAGACCGCACAGGAACGCTACTAGCAACCGGAGGCGCAGATGGTGTTGTCAAAGTTTGGGACATTCGCGGCGGCTACACCACCCACGCTTTTCATGGCCATGGTGGGGTTGTTTCCGCGCTTCATTTCTTTGAGGTTGAGGTAGCTGAGCGGGAAGATGCATCCGAAAACAACAAGAAACGGAAGAGGAAATCAAGACAAGAAGGTGCCGAGATCGAACAAGCCCAGGGCGAAAGTCAGATACAATTCCGACTGGCCTCGGGTGCCGAGGACGGAAAAATTAGAATCTGGGATTTGCACAAGAGGAAGAGCGCCGCCATATTAGATTCGCACGTTTCTGTGGTTCGATCGCTGCAGTATTCACCACAGGAAAAGCTGCTCCTCTCTGGTAGTAGAGACAAGACTCTGATTGCATGGGACTCGAACAGGTGGAAGGCGCAACGCACCATTGCCGCACTCGAAGGCATCGAGAGCGCCGGTTTTGTTGCAGACGGAAAGATCTTGTACTCTGGTGGAGAAAACGGCAGAGTACGACTTTGGTCAACATCAAGCGGACGCGAACTCACATCAGAGCAAGAGCCGGGTATAGAAACGGATGAGATTGTCAACATTCTCTACTACCCAACCCTGTCTTACCTGATCTCAGTACATGCTGACCAGGTACTCAACTTTCACTCTCTCAAATCTGCCGAATCCCTTGTCGTCGAGGAGACGATTGATCCTCTACCAGTCTTTCGGCGTGTCTCCGGAACGCATGACGAAGTGATTGATATTGCGTACGTCGGCCGTGACAAATCATTGCTGGCATTGAACACCAACTCCGAGGACATTCGCATCATCACATTAAACGAGTCAGAGGGAGACGACGCAACAGAAGGAAGATACTTTGGCGCAGACGTGGGACTACTAAAAGGCCATGATGATATTGTCATCTGTCTAGATGTGGACTGGTCAGGACATTGGCTCGTCACAGGTGCAAAGGACAATACAGCCCGGCTATGGCGACTAGATCCCGAACACGGATCATACACTTGTGCAGCAGTTTTGACAGGTCATGCTGAATCGCTGGGTGCAATTGCGTTACCTCATATAGTGCCTCAGGAGTCGTCTGCCGCATTCACAGATCCGTTATCACACCCCCCGGCATACATTGTAACAGGATCCCAAGATCGGACCGTTAAGCGGTGGGACATGACTAAGGAGATGAAGGGAAAGCTACGAGCAAAGTATACTCGCAAGGCACACGATAAGGATATCAACGCAATTGACATCGACCCGTCTGGGACTCTGTTCGCTTCTGCGTCACAGGACCGTACAGTCAAGATCTATTCGGCTGCTGAAGGAGAAGCGATTGGTGTCCTTCGAGGTCACCGTCGTGGTGTCTGGAGCGTCAAGTTTGCACCAAAAGACTCACAGGCTCCGAATTCGAGTGGCAAGGGCTTGATTGCAACTGGCAGTGGAGACAAGACGGTCAAGATCTGGAGTCTGGCGGACTACAGCTGTCTTTTGACGCTTGAAGGCCACTCCAACAGTGTTCTGAAGCTCGCATGGCTCCCATACCGTCCAGTGGACGCGCGAGACAAACGAGGTCCGCAAGTCGCCTCTGCAGCCGGTGACGGCTTGGTCAAGATCTGGGACTCCATCTCGGGCGAGACAATGTCTACCCTCGACAACCACACCGACCGTGTCTGGGCCCTCGTCGCCCACCCTCAAACTGGCGCCCTCGTCTCTGGCGGCGGTGACAGCGTCATAACCTTCTGGCAAGACACAACCAGCACCACGCTCGAAGCCGCCACCACCGCCGAAACCGAGCGCATCGAACTCGACCAGAAACTCCAAAACTACGCCTACGCAGGAAACTACCGCGACGCCATCGTCCTCGCCCTCCAAATGGACCAACCCGCCCGCCTCTTCTCCCTCTTCAAATCCGTCGTGGAATCAGACTCTCCAGACCCAGACTCCCTATCCGGTCTCAACTCCGTCGACGCCGTCCTCGCATCCCTCGCCGACGAACAACTCTACAAACTCCTCCTCCGCCTCCGCGACTGGAATACAAACGTCCGCACCGCTCCCATCGCCCAGAAGATTCTACACACGATTGTCAAATCGTACCCAGCAGCACGGCTTGCGGGGCTGAAGCCTCAAGGCAAAGTTGCGGCGAAGGGGAGTCTGAAGGATGTGCTGGAGGCTATCAAGGTTTATTCAGAGAGACATTATAGGCGAGTAGAGGAGTTGGTGGATGAGAGTTATTTGTTGGATTTTACATTGAGAGAGATGGATGAGGTCGGGGGTGTGAGTGAGGGCATGAATGGGTTGGGGTTGGAAGGCGGAAGGGACGTTGTCATGGTTGAATAAAGTCCATATACATATCTGAATGAATCGTTCTTTTGTTTTTTCTTCTCCACAATTAAAAATAAATCTCTTATATCAGATTTAAATCCTTCACTTCCTGCTCCTCCCGCCCTGCCCCTTTCTCCTCTCCCAAACCATCAGATACGCCTCCTTTGTAAACAGCGTCTCCGCCCTCTCCTTCTCCACAAACAAATCCTGAATTCCATACCACTCCTCCCTCGCGCGATCTTTAACTTGTACCCTCCAAATCTTGCTCTCAAGCTCGCCCTCCACGCTATCGTCTTTCTTCTTGACAGCTTCGTGCGTGATGTTGGCGACGAGGTCGTACCATATGGGTTCACCTGGGGGGTATTCCGCGGGATTCGGTTCGACGTAGGGTGACATGTCGAGGGAGTGAACGGGGAAGGTGACGATAGTGGGGTTGCGTTCTGCGACGAATTTATTTTTCGAGAAGCGTTTGATGTTGAAGAGGAGGTAGGGGGGGAGGGGGTGTAGAAGACGGTATCGGACGCGGTTCTTTGATTTCTCTTGAGGAGTTACGCCGTTGTATTTTGAGAGGATGTTTACGAGGGGGACTTGGGGGATGATGTTTTTTTCGAGGGCGTCTTGGAAGAGGGGTGCGGCGGGGAGGTCGAGGGTTAGGACGAGGAAGTGCGAGGTTGTTGTTTGGACGGCGGCGTCTTCGAAGCGGAGGCGGTCGCCGGCGTCGGCGCGGGCGGTGATTTCTTGTTGTTCGATTTTGAGGGTGCCTTGGAAGACTTTTTGGATGATGCTGCTGTGGGGTTTTGTGCGCGAGCCGCCGACGGCGAGGTGGAGGTTGTTGAGGAACCAGGAGAGAAAGTCGACGGGGTCGGATTGGTCGGTTAGGGTGAAGCGTTTCGAGGAGCGGAGGGCGATTTCTTGGAGGAGCTCGTGCGGTGAGACGTGGGTTTTGAAGGCGCGTGGGTTCCAGATCTTGCGCACAAGGGTGCTGAAGCGCTGGGCGAGTTGCGGTCGGTTGGAGAGGTCTTCGAGCATGAAGTAGTTGCGCAGTGGGACGACGTGGGAGAGGGCTTGTATCACTACGTTGAAGTAGTCGTTTGCCTTGATGTTGTTCATGCCCACAAAGCCTGGTATGTACTCGCGATTTGAGAGATCCCACGACACTTTTGGCTCCTTGTCCAGCTTTGCTACCTCCTCCTTGCTCATGCGTGGGTCTACGACAAACTTGATGTCGTCTAGCGACTTGGACGTCACTTCATAGCCCTCTGGAAGCACATAGACCTTCTTCGTCTCCATGTTGACGTATACGTGGTGTCCCTCTTCCAGCGCATGAAAGTATGCTTGTGACTTTGGCCCCCGACCTTGGTAGTATTTCCCACATACGAGACAGGCGTATACGTTGATGTTGGACAGCGTGACGGAGCATAGCTTCTCAAAGTCAAAGTCAAGGACTTTGCGGTTTATTGTGTCGAGGTAAAGATCGGTGTATCCGGCTTCTGGCGCACTCTGGCGTTTTGGCGCGGCGACTGCGGGCTCGTCACCGTCTTCGTCGTCCAATGCGCCGGCTTCTTCAAGCTCCTCATGCTCCTCTGCGTCTGCGCCTACAATGTCTATCTTGTCTTGGTCTTGCGGTCGGGGAGCCATGAGGTGGCCATTGCCAGTCGCGCCGTTCGTATCGGAGTCTTCCATCTCTTCATCCTCGACTTTTGGGCGCTTCATAGCTGGCGACGGCGCGTCGTACATTTCCTCGAGAGGCTCCAGGGCCGGTCGCTTTGACATTTTGCGCAGGTGTGATATCGCAGAATTTCAAGGTATTTAAAGAGATTGTGGTTCCAGACAAGACTATACAACTAAAATCACCACGATTTCTAGGTGGTTTGATGTTGTGCAGCAAAGGTGGTAATAGGCATTCACAAGTCACGGACCCCGGTGGAACCATTGGCCGGGGAAGCTCCGCGCAAACACCGCAAACACAGCTTCAACGCGGGCAAGACTAGAAAAAAGTCGCGTCCAGGCACATCCAGCCGACAACCCCACACCTTCTGAGATACCCCTCTTTACTTGCCTAGGAATTCCAGCAAGATGGTATGAGCGCCCGAATTTTCTCACAAAACAATAAAGAACAACCGTAGTGGCTGACAAGACATGTAGTCGAACCCCACTCAGATCTTTGCGGACGACGTAACGGAGGAGAAGGGCGAGAATGCGCGCCTCTCTGCCTTTGTAGGCGCCATCGCTGTTGGAGACTTGGTCAAGAGCACATTGGGCCCTAAGGGCATGGACAAGATCATGCAGTCTGCGTAAGTGAAGATTGCCCCGCTTCCACTCGTAGGCCCCAACTCACATGTGTGGAAAGTTCGACCGGAGAGATCATGGTCACAAACGACGGTGCCACCATTCTCAAAGCGATTGCCCTCGACAACGCCGCCGCAAAAGTACTAGTCAATATTTCAAAAGTCCAGGATGACGAAGTCGGTGACGGAACCACGTCAGTCACTGTCCTTGCCGCCGAACTGCTGCGGGAGGCGGAGAAATTGGTCGACCAGAAGATCCACCCCCAGACTATCATCGAAGGATACAGGATAGCAAGCAGTGCAGCACTCAAAGCACTGGAAAAGATTGCAGTGGACCATAGCAATGACGAGCAGGAATTCCGAAAAGATCTCGAGGCCATTGCCCGCACAACGCTGAGCTCCAAGGTGCTCTCGCAGGACCGCACACAATTTGCCAAGCTCGCCGTAGACGCTGTCCTCAAGCTCGGAGGCTCGACGGACCTGACACACATCCAGATCATCAAGAAGGCTGGAGGAAAGCTAAAGGACTCGTACTTGGACGAGGGATTCATTCTGGACAAGAAGTTTGGCGTGAACCAGCCCAAGCGGATAGAGAATGCAAAGATTCTGGTTGCAAACACAGCCATGGACACAGACAAGATCAAGATTTTTGGAGCGCGAGTCAAGGTGGATTCAACGGGCAAGCTTGCCGAATTGGAAAAGGCTGAGCGTGAGAAGATGAAGGCCAAGGTGGAGCGTATCAAGGCACACGGCATCAACTGCTTTGTCAACCGACAGCTCATCTACAACTGGCCAGAGCAGCTGTTTGCGGATGCTGGCATCTGCTCGATTGAGCACGCAGACTTTGAGGGCATTGAGCGACTGGCTCTGGTCACTGGCGGAGAGATTACCTCGACTTTCGACCACCCTGAGAATGTCAAGCTCGGCTACTGCGATGTCGTCGAGGAGGTGATAATTGGAGAGGATGTGTTGATCAAGTTCTCGGGCACCAAGGCGGGACGAGCATGCACCATTGTGCTGCGTGGTGCTACCGAGCAGCTTCTGGATGAAGCCGAGCGATCGCTACACGATGCTCTTGCCGTATTGTCACAAACAGTCAAGGAGCCCCGGACAACACTGGGTGGTGGCTGCGCCGAGATGAACATGGCAAAGGCAGTGGCGGAGGCGGCACAAAATGTGGCTGGCAAGAAGGCGATTGCGGTCGAATCGTTTTCCAAGGCGCTGCAACAACTGCCTACGATCCTGGCTGACAATGCCGGATTCGACTCGAGCGACCTGGTCACGCGACTCCGGAAAGCCGTCTACTCGGGCCTGACGAGCTCGGGTCTAGATCTGCTGTCACCGGGAGGTGGCATTGCAGACATGAGGGAGCTGGGTGTGATTGAAAGTTACAAGCTGAAGCGAGCAGTGGTGTCGTCGGCCTCGGAGGCCGCAGAGGTGAGTGTATTGCGAGAAGACGGTTGTGATATGGGCACTAACTTTGACAGCTGCTATTGCGAGTGGACAACATTATCCGAAGCGCACCACGACGACGCGATCGTATGTAAAGGGGAGGGGACAGGACGTTATGAAGCAATGGAATCACGGGCACAAGATCGAGTGTATATTACAAAGCAAGATGAATGCAGCCAGAGCCTCAGGCGCCTGAACGGTTGTTCCGTGCCTTGTGTGTCAGATTGTGGGAAGTGACTAGTACGGAAGGACGTAGGTGGCCGCACAAGGCGTGACGCATGTAATACGGGCGGTTCCTGTTTGCATGGTGCAGCAGGGCGCGCCGGAGTTGATGCATGTGCCATTGATTGATTGAGTTAATATGGAGTAGATGTGATGGGGGTGAGGGGGTGTGGCATTGTGGTTGACGGATGCAGGTAACGCGACTCAGTCGACCTTCTAGATGATTCAGTCCAGCGGGCGAGTCACGTGACGGATGCGGTGGGACGGGCGGTGGGCGGTTCGGCGCTGACATGTGTTTCATCTCCGTGTCTCGCCATTACCGCAAAGACACCTAAGCACCGAAACAGGAAACTCTCTTCGGACACACTGATATTTTCTGAGAGGTTACTTTGGTCACGACAAGTCTAAATATGGTTGTGCGGTTTGTGACGGGCGGCAGGGCAGGACAGAGCCGGGCAGGTTGAGCGTGTGCCGTCTGGCGTACGGACTTTGGGTGCTTGGGAATTGGTGGTTGGGTGTGCGAGTAGTGTGGTATGGTGCGGGGCGGGCGGGAGGGATACAGTTCACCTACTGCGCCACCATGGCCGTCTGGGTCTGGGTGGATGCGTGCTTTGGTTTTGGCTCCGGTGGCATGCGTCCTGGCGTCGTGGGCTGGCTGGTGGGCAATGGCTGTCCATGGCATGAGGATGCAGCCGTGTTTCCATCTCTGCAGGCACAGGACCGCCATTGCTGCCCCGGCCAAGAGCACAAGCACAAGGTACGGGACATGGATGGAATGGGATGGCCCGTCGCCTTTCGGTCCCTGCGTTGGGGAGTGGATGGATGATGTGGATGGATGGGCGGTGGCGGCCAAAACGAGGAAAACGGGCGAGTGTGTGGACAAGGAGTCTAAATGCTAGTAGCAGTGACGGGTGGGCTGACGAGGCCCCGACCGGACCCCAGCTTATGGTGCCCACGCTCAGCTGCAGCAGGCGAGTCCCCCCCCCCCCGCGAGGCCTTAATATCGTCCTAAATTCGCTGCCACGGGCGTCTTTTCCCGCTCCTCTTCTGACCCAGCCCTTCGCCTCCATCACTGCTTGCGGATGCTCCATCTCCCTCGCCCTCGCTGCCTGCCCAAGGCTTCCAACTGATCCCCATACACGCCCGCAATGCCGCGTCCGCGCCGGCCGCCTGGTGCTGGCTCGGCGCTCACCACTCTCGCCCTCCTGCTCCTCGCCGGACTTGTGGCCGCTCAGCAGCAGCAACCACAACAACAACAACCACAACAGCAACAACAAATCCCACTACCTCCTCCACGCCTCGAACATCATGTCCCCAGCGGAGCCCCTCGACCCGCCCTCCATATAGAACACGCTCCCATCATCAACCCCAAGCCCATCCACAAACACGCAAAACTCGCCCAGAAGAACGCGGTAGTTGATGCTCCGCGTCGAAGACCCCACTCATCCCTTCACAGCCAGAACGTGCGCGCCCTAGCAACCAGAGTTCCTTCTGCTCCAGCCATCAGTGCTGTCAGAGCCGATCCCGCCAGATATGCAGCCTCGGGGGGCTTAGTCCCCGGTGCGCGCTCTCTGCAGGATTGGGAAGTTGAGGACTTTGTTCTCTTGGCGACCGTCGATGGCCACATACACGCACGCGACCGATACAATGGCGAGGAGATTTGGGAGCTGAGCGGGAGGCCCATGTTGGAAACCATCTACAACTCATCCGGCGGCAGTGTTGACCCACAGGACCAGCCCTTTGTATGGATCGTGGAGCCGCGAGAAGATGGTGCCCTCTACCTCCTCTCCCCAGGCCCTTATCCCCATCTCCAACACCTGGGCGTGACGGTCAAGCAATTGGCCGAAAACGCACCTTATTCGAGCGATGATCCGGAACTTCCGGTCGTGTACAACGTCGAGAAGAAGACATTCATGTTGCTTGTCGATGCAGCCTCTGGTATAGTCAAGCAGAGCTTCAGTCCTGGTGGAACCTTTCCCCACGACGACAGTTGTGCCCCAGAGTCGAGAAACTACTTTAGCGCGCGAGAACGTGACTGCCGCGGGGTCATCGACATTGGGCAGACCCAGTACACCATCACCATCCACAACAAGAAGACCAACGAGCACATATGCACGCTCAAATATGCAGAGTGGAACCCCAACAGTCGTGACAGAGATTTGCAATCGCAGTACGACCAGACGTTGGACAAGCAGTACATCTACACCACATATAACGGCGAAGTCATTGCCTTTGACTACAAACGTCCAAGGTCGCACCAGCGGCCACTTTATAGGCAGCGTCTGCCGTTCCCAGTTGCACGCGTCTTTGATGTTGCCCGTCCTTCAAACGACCAATCCTCTGACCCACCCTTGGTCCTTTTGCCCCAGCCTGCGGGGCCTGTATTTTCAGAGGACAAGGCCAATCATGTTCTCCTCAACACAACCGACTCGGGAGCGTGGTATGCACTGTCAGAAGTCAACTACCCTGCCGTGACAGATGGTGCCCCAGACGCAAGTTGCTACAAGCAGAATCAGGCTGCATACGATTGGGATGCGGCCTACGCCTTGCCAGACAAGAAGAGCCTTATTGGTGTGCACAGACTCGACTACAAGATTCCTGAAATGCCAACTCAGCTGCTGGGCATTCCTGCACCAACTTTCTACGACTCTGTAAATGATCAGGTCATCTCCAACCCACCGGAGACTTCCCCAAGGGAGCATCACCAGCCACCAAGCATTGATGCACCACCACAGGCTGAAGTCGTCGCACGCTCAGTCAATGTCTACATATACATTGTACTTGCCATCTGCCTGTTTGGCGGTGTCGGGG